TGTGATGATGATTTAGCCATAATGGCGGCTTTCAGTTGTCGATGAAGACGTTCGACTAAGCCGTTGGCTGCAGGATTGTAAGCTGTAGTTTTGAAATGGTTGCATCCTAATAGCTGGTTCAGTTCACGAAACAAGGAACAGGTAAACTGACTCCCACGATCTGTAGTGATGCTCTCAGGGACACCAAAATAGGATACCCAAGAATCGACAAGGTGTCTGGCAACGGTTTCGGACGAACAATCGCGCATGGGGGTCGCTTGAGGCCAGCGTGTGAAGCGATCGACTATTGTTAACACATAGGAACATTCGTTGGATGGTGGAAGTGGTCCAACGATGTCTACATGTATATGCTGGAAACGGCGTGTAGGCAAGTTGAAACTTCCGGGTGGCGTAACCGTGTGTTTATGGACTTTACTCAGTTGACAGGTTTTGCACTGTTTTGCCCATTGTCGGATCTCTTTCTGCATACCAGGCCACAAGAAACGTTCACAAATTAATCGAGCAGTGGAACGGATACTCGGGTGTGAAATGGAGTGGAAATGCATGAAGACTGACCGACGATATTTCTGAGGCACAAATGGACGAGGTTTACCAGTGGACATGTCACACAGAACTTTAGAATCACAGTTTAAGAGCGGCATATTAACGAACTTCAGGGAAGGATGTGATCTAAGCTCTTGTAATTCTTCGTCCTGCTTTTGGCTCTCAGCTATTAATTGCAGATCGAACGGAGCGTGTACCAAGTGGTTTATATGGGCACGGGATAAGGCATCTGCAACTAAATTGCTGCGACCACTAATATGCCGGATGTCACTAGTGAATTGGCTGATATAATCCAACTGCCTAGTTTCCCTCGGTGAATAACGATCAGATGTCGCGTTGAGTGCAAAAGTGAGCGGCTTATGATCTGTGAGAATCACGAAGTGTCGGCTTTCCAAAATATGTCGGAAGTGCCGAACAGCTAAGTAGATTGCGAGAAGTTCACGGCCAAAAGTGCTATATCGAGTCTGTGCAGGTTGTAAGCGATGCGAGAAGAATGATAAAGGCTGTATTTCACCGTTGACCTCCTGTTGTAGAACCGCACCAACTGCAGTTTGTGAGGCATCAGTAACCAGGAAAAGAGGTGTAGACGGATCAGGATTTATATGTGCCAAATTGGTTGTCTGATTTAACACTTCCTTAACCGTTTCAAATGACGCAATGGCCTCCGCTGTAAGGGTGAAATTGCGCGTTTTCAGTCTGAGTAGGTCGGTGAGCGGTTGGACAACCTCGGCACAGTTAGGGATAAAGCGACGGTAGTAATTGATAAGGCCAAGGAAACGTCTCAACTTCTTAATGCTGTTGGGAGCTGGAAAGTCGCAAATGGCGGAAACTTTAGATGGCAGAGTACGGATGCCGTCTGAGTCAACAATATGTCCTAGAATTTCTAGTGACGAAACACCAAATTGGCATTTACTACTATTGATGACTATACCATATTGCTGAAATCTTTCAAAAACTTGCTTTAAGTGAAGCACATGCTCGTCTTCTGACCGACTGGCGATAAGTACATCGTCGATATAAGCGTAGACAAAGTCTAATCCCCGTAAGGCTTGATCCATGACTCGTTGAAATGTTTGAGCCGCATTTCTGCGCCCAAATGGCATACGAACGAATTCATATAGACCGAATGGAGTGGTGATAGCGGTTTGTGGAATATCGTCTGGAGCGACAGGTGTCTGGTGGTATGCTCTGACGAGGTCTAATTTACTGAAGACAGATTTGCCGTGAAGAGTAAGGGCAAAATCATGCAGATGCGGAATTGGGTATTTGTCCGGGATGGTGACACGATTTAGTGCACGATAATCGCCATATGGTCTCCAATCTCCCTCGGACTTTTTGGGAACCATATGCAGTGGAGATGACCAGGGGCTGCTTGATGGTCGTATGATACCCAGTTGAAGCAAATGCTGAAATTCTGTCTTGGCTATGGCAAGCTTCTCCGGAGCTAACCTCCGTGGACGGGATGCGGTGGGTGGGCCTTTTGTCGAGATATGGTGGAAAACGTCATGTTTTACGGAAGTGGTCTTGGAAGCAGGTTTCAGGATCTCTGGGAATTGGCGAAGCAGTGCTGTGTAACGGTTATCCGGCAAAGCTGGGCGGATTCCAACAGAATTAATGGATGAAGCTTTGCCATTTATGGAGAGAGTTGTCGAATTGCCAAGCAACTGCCGTCTGTGGAGATCACCCGTGAGACCAAATGTCGTGAGAAAGTCCATACCAATAATGG